ACTTTTAATCCAGGTTACAATAATCCACACTTTTAATCCAGGTTACACTCTTCCCTCAATGACACATTTTACAAAGTAGCTACATATTGTGCAGGTATAAAGACACATTTGTATATATTTTTGTGTACATTTATTTTTTTTAAGCTATTTGACTAACTTTTATTTTTTTATTATTCAATATTTTACTAACAGAATAGTCAAATAGCAACCTGTTTTTTTGTGCGAATTGCTATGTCAGTCAAATGTTCAATTTTGTAATAAAGGGGTGGAAATTAAAACTTTTTTTTTGCCGATTCATCGATTAATCGGAAAAATAATCGACTGATGAATCGATTATTGAAATAATCGTTAGTTGCAGCCCTAATTCATATTAACATTTAATCTGTATCTGTAATAACATGATCATGAAAATGTAGATGTGACATCGATGTTCTGAATAAGGAGCACTAATGTTCACATTTAACTGATTTTGATTAATCAAATCTATGAACATATAAACAGCTATATATATATATATACACTTTTTTGTTCCAATACCGTCCCCCCACCCCCTGTAAAGATATATTAGTATATATTTGTTCATGGATGTGATTAATTAAAATGTGAACGTTAGTGCTGTTTATTCAGAAAATTAACGTCACATCTACATTTCGGGATCAGGTTATTATAGATACAGATTAAATCTAGAATGTGAATATTTCTATATTTATCACCCCAGTAATCGTGTTACAGCCGTTAGTATTTGTAAACACTCAAAGAATAAATATATTTGTTTAGTGTTTACCTTTAAACCTAAACATTTAAATGGACTGTACCTATATATCACCTTTTTATCTGATCAAGATACTCAAAGCTCTTTACAACAATCTGTGCCTCATTTACCCATTCATACAGCTCTATACTAGAGCTCTTGAAAGATAATTCAACAAATCATTCTAAAGTCAGAGTCAGAGTTTCTTTATTGTCATTCGCACCTCATGTGGTACATGTGGTGGAGCGAAATTATGTTCACAGGGTCCCAGTTACATCCAACAATAAAATGTATAAGAAAAACAGTAATAACATCTAAGATATGAACTAAGAAAAACATCAACTAAATATACACTAAGCACTCATAACATAAAACATTGAACATCAGCACAAACATGAACATGAGTCTGTGAGCAGATGTGCACGCACGCACATCAGACAATGAGGGGTTCAGTGTGTTGCCCAGGGACACTTCGGCATGTGACTGCTGGTGGATTCGAACCCCCAACTCTTGCATTGGAGGATGACTGCTCTAACCACTCAGCCACAGCCGCCCTTAAGATATATTACAACAGCCACTTTATTGTGTTGGTCTCATAACAAATCAGGTATTAAGGTAAAGAAAACAAGTTGTAAAAAAGAAAACCCATTATGTTTAAAACAATGAAAACAACAAGAAACACAATAACTCCACGATGAGCTACACAGACACAGAACATCAGATCACTCCCTCATTTCTCCATCTTCTTTTTCCTCTTCTACACCTCGGATGTATAAAACATTGTTGCATCTGATGAGGATACACCAAGATGTCCTGCCAATGCTCCATCGACGTATTCTTCTGTGTTTGCAAGCTGCATGTTCATGTCTCCATCCACAGACACCAGGTAGCCTTTATACTCCATCCCCACTTCAGTTTCACCATCACAGGTTTTCCTGTCAGGCTGTTCAGGAAAGGCTTTGGGTTGAGAGGTAAACTCATTTTATTCAAATTAAAGCTGTATGGAGCAATACATTTAAGGAGTAAACATTTTTAATAATCATGTTAAAAGTTAGTATGTTTGGTGCCTGTTTGTTTTACAGCTATATTAGTTGTGAATGACAGAGATTAACTTCAAACACTTCGTACAACAGTTCTTTATGAAGTTCAGTCCATTTCCTTGTTAGTTGACCGGCAGATCTGCCATAATCAATATAGCGGATGCTCTGACGACCAGTCCGCTCAACGAGGCGTCTACAGCCAAACCCATCTGTTCTCTGATCGGATCCTTATTTTGTGATTGACATGACATTGACGAATCAACTGAGAAGAGTAAAATCCTGGACAAAATTCGTACACATAGTTTTTGGATTCATATCTGTAAACAGAACATCGTAAAACGTTTTGTAACTTGTTATTTTTTTTTTAGCAAATAGAAATCTTTTTGACAAGGTTACAAATCTTTTTTTTTGTAAGGTTACAATTCTTTTTTACACATACAATTCTTTTTTTATAAGGTTACAAATCTTTTTTTACACTTGCAAATTATTTAAGGCTTGGAATATGAGCCCATACCAAAGTGCTTACCATTAAAAATCAATTGCAGTCAATTAATGAACAGTTACAATGTTAATAAACAATGTATGTTACGGTAGTATTCTGCTGTGGGTGACTGCTGGTCATATGGCCTCATGTAGGAATTGTGGTTCAATTTTACCGGTATGTTAATTTTTTTATAATTTCGGTTATCATAGGTGTTTAGCACTGTTCTCTCCGGTGATTACAGGTAGTCTGTTCTTCTTAGTCTAGTTTCTGTTCATTCAGTAGGTTGTAGGTTATTTAGTAGAGTAACCATGGGTCAGACAGCTGTGAGAATCAGCAGCCTCTGTGTGTGCTGAACAGCAAACTAAAGTCTATGAACTGCTATCTGGTGATTGATTCTTGGACCACAACAAGAACGGTACATTCTCTTAGGAGCATCTCTGATATTACATCGTAGACACCCGCAGCTTATACACCAGCGCAGCTGAGCTATGTACATAATTGTGTTTTATTTTAAATTTACTGTGCACTGTTTATACTCTGGTGCGCTCTATAGATCCGAAATTACTGTAGTTTCCTCAAATGCTTGGGATGGCTGAAGATTAATATATGGGGCCATGCCACCATTGGCCACCCCCTGTCTCCACCATTGCTCCTGTTCAAGGATCAAATTGTTCCCTCTACTTGCCAGGATACATAACTGCACTGCTTCAGACACGCAAAACAAACAAACAAAAGCAAAAAATCAAAAAGACCTGCCTCTGTTCTTCTCATACCCACTTTAATATCTTGCACCAAAAACGTTAAGAGGTACTTATATTCCCTGTTCAACTCCAGTGTGGCACAACACTCATGTTGTAAACTAAAAACATCCACTTTTCAAATCCCGCTATATTACTTGTTAAAATAAGTAATTACTTGTTAAAATAAGATTTGGTTCGGATGATCATGTGAGACTTGCTTGTGATGGAATTCGACATGCACTGGAATGGAATGGCTATCATACATGCTGGTTTTAGAAAACATTGCTGTGGTCTCCTAATTTGATCCAAATCTGTATATTTAAGGCAGGCTTTGAGCAAATGTTGGGACCCTTTGCGTCCCCTCAAACACATACACTTGCACACACACTCCCACACACTCATCAAACAATACAGATTTCTTAAGTGTTTGGGTCACATTAGAGAATCATGACAAGAAAAGCTGTCCCTGACAAAGCCTGAAAATAAATCAAATGATCAAAATCTGTAAGAGAACATGGCCTTGGTTACATTTCTGTTGTTTAGCCTGTCTTCTGGATGACCCCCCTCTCCCCTCTTGCTGGTTGTTTTGCTCTGCTTCTCATTTGCACAGCAGACTGACTCCAGAGGACACTAGGACGGATGTGTTGCTCAGCCAAAAATTGTGACCCACAGCCTTTCTGCACCCCCTGCAGGCTCAGCTTCACTGCACTGTACACACACCCGCCTCCGTCTGTGCAGTACATGTTCCCTAGGCAGTGATCCAAGAGATGCTGTGTTGCAGAGCAGCAACACTGGCTTCAACATTCTGTAAATGTAGGTATAAACAAAGAAAAGGCCAAAAGTGTGACTCCACTCATCTTTTACTCATCTTTTGTTGGGATGTAGACATTGCTGGTCTACAGAACAGAAAATTCAGCGTTTTCTCCCCAACACAAACAGTCTTTGTAGTACACCACACACATGCCTGCTTCAGCCCCTCCTTTCTACTCCTCCTTTTTGCACTTGTCCCTGGAGTAGTAGGAGATTTATTGTCTTGTCAGAAAGAGAACTCCCTGACTTCTCAGACAATGATCCTGGGGAATTCAACCAGCAGTCAACATTTGATCAGATGCTTCCAAACACTCACACTTTTGTTGCTGTAAGAAATCATTTTTGATTATTGCTGCGATGCATTTTTCTAACCTGACAAAACTTACCCTGGTGTATGCAAATAACACTCACAGTCAACAGTCTGCCATGGGAGAACTTCCATGAGAAAAGATTTCAATCACAGGCAGAGATGAAACAGGCAACCCTATTGAACAATGGTGCTGTAGTTGTGTTGTCATAAGCACCGATGTGCATTAGCAGTGGTTTTGTCATACACGAGTTAATTAAAACCATCACAGACAGGCTGTGGGGTTTACTTCTCTTTCCCCTCATCGTGTCAAATTTCATTTTATTGCACCAAACATTTAAACAGGTGTCACGCTTGTTGTCGCTGCAGCTTTGGATCACTGTCATTCTACCAAATGTGCACAACAAATGCACTTTCTTCTAATTTCCGTCCAGCCCAGGCAGTGTCTCACGTCAACACAAACTCAAATATTGACAGTAATTACAAGTATCTTGGGGTGTTTCAGTGGAGGCTGAACTACAAAAGCTGCAAAACATGGATTAAATTACTTGAGCTGTTGATGGGAGGAAAGGGGGCTGCTAAACTGTCTCTCAGACTCAATTGGTTCAATGACTCTAATGCTGGTACTGGGGCCAGTACTGTGCGCTTTATTGGAAATGTGTTTGAGATCAGTTTGAACAAATGCCTTGTAGCTTTTGTGGCCACAAGACTAAAAAAAACACCCCAGTATGACTGAGTTTAACTGGCTGCTTCAGGGACATGAACACAAACAACTGCAGCACTGTCACCCTGAGGCATCACCAGTTCTGTTTACTGACAAATTGACCTCCCTGTTGATCAACAGTATTGCTCTCTCATGACAAACTGACAATGTGGAAGAATTTAAAAACTAGCATCAAATGTATAACAGTAATAAGAATTATACTACTAATAATAATAACAACTGTACTACTAATAGTACTACTATTATTATTATCATTATCATTATTAGTGACAGTGCATTAACATTCAAGCACCCTTGCTGCTGTAGCATATATGAGTGAATGGAGGAAGAAGGGTGACACTTGCTCCTCACTCTATTACACTTGTTGTTTTGCACTCATTAAAGCAGTCAGTCGGTTTACTGACCAGCAACAACTGAATTAATGTATTCATCTTTTAATTATCACAACTCAGTCTCTGAAGTAGAATCTGTTATAAACAGGGAATTCTATACCATAACAAATGAATATTCATCCAAATGAAATGACAAATTTTACTTTTTTGTACAAAAACAACTTATCAAACTAAGAATCATCAACCATAATAAACAAATTGAATAACACAAATGAAAAAGAATGATAATTTGGTTTAAAACTATATAACATAACTTGCTTAAAAAGTAGTAAAGTAATTATTAAAACAATAATGAACAATCTAAACCAGTGGTCCACAATCCCTGGGCCGGTCCGTGGGTCAATGGGTACCGGGCCGCACAGAAGGGGAAAAAAAGGTTTATTTTGAAAAATCACCAGATTCTCTCTACCACATCAGTCTATGACTCACTCTTGATGCAGGTCAATGAGCAGCTTCGGATGTTATCAGTCCATTAAATGGCCGTTATTAGTTGTCATGATCCCCATATGTAGCAGTCAAACTGTCCCACCTACCTCCTAGTAGGTTTAAAGGTATGTTATTATCATTATTATTGGTGATTATAGGCAGCATCACACGGGGGTAAACCAGGAAGTGTCTTTTTTGTTTTTTTTCCAGCTTATGTAACCCTTTTCCTAAACATAAGCTTACACCTGACTAGGGATGGGGCCGATCCGATCCAGTATCCGTATCGGCCTCCGATACCAGCATAATTTACATAACGGATTTTTCCGATCCACCTGCCGATATTTCCGATCCATGATGCACATTGGCTTCAAACTACGGAATGGATTTCCTGAACGGCGGCGTGTCTCATGAACCCAGAGTAATAAGACCCACCTCACATTCAGGAAATCCATTTCATAGTTTGCAGCCAGCTACAACGTGAGGACTGAGTTAGCAGCACTGTGGCTAACAGCTAACCAACTTTTCATCTAAACATGTCCGCTGTGTGTGTTAAGATCGAGATCGTACCCAGGATGAAGGACCAGAAAACTGAATAGAGACCAGGACTCAAAGTATCAGAAAGAACAGTGTTTATTTACAAGGTGCTATTCCAAGTGAAGACGTCTATATACAGGTGCCGGGAAGATATATACAATATATATATATACAGGATCTCCTGAGGGGCAGAGGAAGAGGTTAAGGGGGTGCAGGAGGGACTGGAGCGATTTGTGCAGAATCTTCCTTACGTGGCGTGAGGTATAACAAGAGGGATCCAAATATGAACTCAGGTTGAAGCGGCAAGTGGTGGAAGGCAAAAGCAGCTGCAGGGTGACAGGAGGGATCGAGGAGTAACTCAGGAGACTCAGGCAGGTCCGGTGACAACGTGAAGAACAGGAAGGCTCTGCGAACGCAGAGAGAGACAAAAACTTCAGTTGTTTACTATAGAACACAGTTTACTGGCTAGAACATTTGCTACTGTTGGCAGGCAATGTCCCAGCGCCTGTAGAGTGGCTTCTGAG